GGCATAAGTCATAAATAACAGGATCGGTGGAACACAACATGGTTAGCGGGAGACAAACCGAAGAATGAGAAACCGCGCGCGAGCAGAAATAAGTATGAGCGGGTTTATATTAAAGGTTGTTTTATAGTCGCCACGGCCCAGTTAAACAGCATTTCTGGAAATACTGATGTGAATTTATTTATAAGTTTTACATGCATCTAATTTATTTTTTTCAACAAAATACAGAAGTTATTATTACTCATAGCATAAGCATGCCTTTTTGATGCGGGCCGTTAACGTAGATTAGCGATTGCTGGAACGGCTTGAATAAGCTGCTTGACAAGGTAAGGTATATTTTTGTACGGGTTAAGCCACTGAGTGCCAGGGAAGAATAATGGACACGTATAATCATCCAAGCACATCTTGAACATCTGGAGTGGCGTTGTCTCCACAATGAATTGAGGTAAATCATTCCGCTGTCGTACTGCTGCGGATAAATGCAGAGCAAAATAGCAACCTACATATTTTCATGTGAAGTCCCATCAATTTGTAACAAATATGAGGCGATTATTACCACTATAGCATGTCCTCAGTGATGTACCTAACAGCTCTGTTCTGGGGCCATTACTGTTCTTAATCTACGTTAGTCATCTAGTCAGTATATTTGAGTAAAAACATAGGCTAGCGCCTTTGAACCTCCAATTTGTCACATCAAAAGCGCAAGAAATAGAAACAATGTTCACAAGTTTTCAGTCAGGAACGTGTAGACAGTCACATCTTGCATTGGTGTTTCAAGGTTAATTTTTCATATAGTTAACGTTGTGCTGTAACATATGTATATCAAGGCGATGTTTGAATGTTTCCACAGATTGGGCCATAAAAATCGCCTCAGGTGGGTTATTCCACGTGTCCACGACCCGGTTGGAGAAAAAATACTTTCTGATATCCAATCTTCCTTGGGGCACATACAGCTCGAAGGCATGCCACGGAGATTAGTTGAAGTGGCAGGCTAGAATAGGTCGTCACACGTGAGAGCGCAGTCCAAGTCATGCACGATACGAGGGGTTTATTAAATCACCGTGTAACTGCGTATAATTCAGAGGATAGAGATTAAGTTTATTTTGCGGATTTCATATGGAAGTGCACCTTGACCTCTTATTAATTTTGTGGCCCGCCGCTGCACCCTTTCAAGTACGTTGTAATCCTGCCGCATCCACGGTCTCCAAGGTTGAATCAAGTACTCAATAAGTGGCCTAATGAAGATACCAAAGATTTTTGAGAAACAGTTTTCATCAAAAACTGTGAATGCCCGCTTGATGGCATACACCAGTTGCGTTGCAGCTTTAACAACCTAACAACATTGTTTTATTTATTTACTGCCAGTTTACAGGCAATTTTAAAAATTGTGTTAATTGGTAAAGCCCCTCTTGGGCGTCTTCTAAGGTTTGAGAGAGAGACGAACAGAGAAGAATGTTTGTAGTGGCTAAATCTATAAAATATATAAAGCACTTATTAGAAGAGACGCAACGAGAACTTCCTAGTGTAGGACTAACTTGCAGTAACTAAATTACCGCACTACGCTATTGGAAAAAGGTAAAAATATTGCATAAAAGTGATAACGTAAATAAACGTTACGACTCACTAGATCCTCACGATCCTTGAGTGCAGTAGTCAGGAAATTGACTTGCTGAAGGATGAATTTATAGCGTTGGGATCTACGCTC